AGTATGAGGCACTTATGTATGGGTTGCGTATGGCCATCTCACTCGGCGTCCGTCGCCTGATGATCTACGGCGACTCAGATTTGGTGGTCAATCAAGTAATGAAGGAGTGGGACATCAGGAGCCCTGCCATGATTGGTTACTGCAATCAGTGAGAAAATTAGAGAAGAAGTTTGAACGGTTGGAGCTCCACCATATACCCCGACTCAAGAATCAAGCAGCTGATGATCTGGCGAAGATAGGCTCCACTCGGAAGCCTATTCCCAGTAATATGTTCTTAGAGCATCTCCATACCCCATCAGTTCAAGAAGATCCTTTTACAGAGGAGCACCCGCAACCGATAAGTTCAAGCAATCTGACTGAGATTGAATTTCCAGCAGTAATCGACTTGATCATGGAGGTTTTAGTGATCACTCCCGACTGGACGGTGCCATATATTGCATATCTGCTCAGGCAGGAGCTCCCAGAGGATGAAGATGAGGCCCGCCAGATTGTCCGCAGATCCAAAGCCTTCACGGTGATAAGTGGACAGCTTTACAGAGAAAGTGTTACTGGAGTAGCTCAGCGTTGCATCTCTCCAGAAGGTCGACTGATCTTAAATGAGATCCACTCGGGGACCCGCGGTCACCACGTGTCCTCTCGGACCATCGTGGCCAAAGCATACCGAGCGAGATTCTACTGGCCGCGAGCGAATGAGATGGCTAAAGATATAGTCGACAAGTGCGAAGGCTGCCAGTTTTACTCAAACATGTCTCACAAGCCTGCATCTGCCTTGAAGACTATTCCACTCGTCTGGCCTTTTGCAGTTTGGGGGTTGGACATGGTTGGACCTTTGAAGACTGGCAGAAGCGGTTTCACTCATTTGCTCGTAGCAGTCGACAAGTTCACCAAGTGGATCGAAGCCAAGCCTATCAAGAATCTTGATTCAAGCACTGCCATTAGCTTCATCAGAGAGCTGATATTCCAATATGGAGTTCCTCACAGCATTATCACAGATAACGGGTCCAACTTTTGATGAGTTCAGAGCATTCTGCGCTTCCCAAGGCACTCGGGTCGATTACGCATCCGTTGCGCATCCGTAGTCGAATGGACAAGCTGAAAGAGCGAATGGCTTGATCCTTCAAGGACCGAAACCTCGATTGACGCGCGACCTCAAGCATGCGGCTGGAGCTTGGGTGATTGAGTTGCCGTCTGTCTTGTGGGGATTGAGAATGACTCCTAATCGGTCGACTGATAGAACCCCTTTCTTCATGGTATATGGCGTTGAAGCTGTGCTTCCGAGTGATTTGTTACACAATGCTCCCCGAGTGTAACTCTTCTCTGAAGCTGAAGCAGAACAGGCACGCCAGGACGCAGTTGATCTCCTAGAAGAAGAACGAGAGATGGCTCTGATCCGGTCGACCATCTATCAGCAAGACCTACGTCGATTCCATGTCCGAAATATCAGAGGTCGAGCGTTTTAGGAAGGAGACCTTGTGCTCCGAGTGCACCAGAAACGACCTCACAAGCTCGCTCCGGCCCGGGAAGGGTCCTTTATCATCACCAAGGTGCTCCACAACGGGCGTATCACCTCTACAACGTAGCCAAGAAAGAAGACGAGCCATGCTCGTGAAATGCGGACCTGCTCCGCCGTTTTTATACCTAAACACTCGGATCGACGAGTTGTAATAAGAATCCTTCAGTATGCTTATCTAAGACATGATTTTTGCAATATCTTAAATGATTGTTTTCACATAAACATGTGTGTTCAAATCCCCTAGTGGGTAGCTTAGCCGCGAACCCGATTCGCCTAAGTTTCAAAAACACTCTGAGTGAAGAGCAACTCTCTCACTCGGGGGCTTAGCTGCGATCCCGTATTCGCCTAAGTTTCAAAAAACACTCTGAGTGAAGGGCAACCCTCTCACTCGGGGGCTTAGCTGCGATCCCGTATTCGTCTAAGTTTCAAAAAACACTTCGAGTGAAGAGCAACCC